TCCTGAATGCCGGCGTTTTCTTTTTTTTGTGTGTTTGTGTGTGTGTGGGTTTTTTTTTTTTTTTCCTCTTTCTGCTGCGCACAAATGTCATGCACTGAAAACGTACAACAGACGGGCATTGCTGGATATCGCCAACTCACACAGCCACTGGGAATTTACTGGTTTCATACCACCGGAGCTACAACTCATTGTTCGCTCCCGCAACAACCACCACCACCACCACCACCACCATCACCCCAGGGAAACCCCTGAAGCACCAGGCACGAGTGAGCAGGCTGACCCCAAAACAGTGATCCGGAGACGGAGATGCAAATGGGGCAAAAGAGGAGGGCTCCGTGCTAGGCTAAAAGCTTGCACTACATGACCGCCACTACCCAGCCTCTTCCTAGCTAACGTACAGTCTCTGGAAAACAAATTGGACGACCTAAGAGCTAGGATTACAACACAACGGGAAAGAAGAGAATGCCGTGCCCTAATTCTCACCGAGACTTGGCTTTCTGACAAAGTCCCAGATTCCGTGATTCAGCTACAGACCCACTCTGTACACTGGGGAAATCGCTCTGCTGCTTTGGGGAAGGTGTGTGTAAAAGGAGGCTCTGTGTGTGTGTGTGTGTGTGTGTGTGTGTGTGTGTTTATCAATAATTCGAGGTGTGGAGATGTATGGACTGTTTATAAGCACTGTTTGCCAGAAGTGGAGTTTTTATTGCTGAAATATTGGCCCCATTATCTAGCAGGAGAGCATAGTGCTGTGTTTCTGGCTGCTGTGCATGTTAGCCCAAGAGCTAATCCCTCATCGGCTCTCAGCAAACTCCATGACGTCATCAGCGCGCAACAGACAGTGCACCCTGACGCTATACTTATTGCTGCAGGCAACTTTAACCAGTGCAATTTACGGTCTGTACTTACCAAATATTACCAACATGTGAACATTCCCACCCGGGGCAAGAACACTCTGGATCATGTTTACAGTAACATCAGGGTGCATCCAGGGTGTCTGGTATACTGCTCTGAATGTGGGCTAGCATCACTCTCTCAAAACACATAATGATTGGGGTGAGTGCTACTGGCCTGTAGTCGTTCAGGCAGGTGACCGGGCTCTTCTTGGGAAGGGGAACGATGGTTGTGGTCTTAAAGCAGGTGGGAACGATGCCCCCTGCCCCCGCCTTGGGCGCTTGGGCCACATTTCTTTGTTCCTGTATCCAACTTACAAAGACTGAAACAAACAAACCCTGTCACCAAATTAAACTCTGGACCCCAGAGACTGAAGGCACCCAGCAGGACTGTTTCGCCCAGACAGACTGGGATGTGTTTAAAGCTGCAGCCACCTTGGAGGACTTTTCTGTTAGCGTACAGGATTATGCTGAGTGTGTACATTAGTACCTGTATTGACAACATCATGCCCACCATACAAGTCAGGAGGTTTCCCAACCAGAAGCCCTGGATAAATACTCAGGTACACCACATGCTGCGTGCACGCTTTCATGCATTCAGATCAGGAAATGAGACAGAGTAAAAAGCTGCAAAATACAGACTGAGGAAAGCCATCACAGTGGCAGTACAGAGAGAAGCTGAATGGCTTTTATTCTACTGCTGACTCCGGATGGATGTGGCAAGGCCTGCAGCACATCACAGAGTAGAGGACCACCACTAGCATCATCAGCCCCACAGACAGCCTGCCAGATGACCTTAACACCTTCTACACCCGCTTTGAGATCTCCAGCTACAGCACAGAGAGGAAGCACACACACACACCTGGACCACCCAACCTCTCCCCTCCATTAACTGTCTCACCAGGCCAGGTACGCAAAGTCCTCAGAAAGATTAACCCCCGCAAAGCAGCAGGACTGGGAGGGCTCTCAGGGCATGTGCCATTGAGCTGGCTGATATTCTCACCACCATCTTCAACTTCTGCCTCAGCCAGAGCATCGTTCCCACCTGCTTTAAGACCACAACCATCGTTCCCCTTCCCAAGAAGAGCCCGGTCACCTGCCTGAACGACTACAGGCCAGTAGCACTCACCCCAATCATTATGTGTTTTGAGAGAGTGATGCTAGCCCACATTCAGAGCAGTATACCAGACACCCTGGATGCACCCTGATGTTACTGTAAACATGATCCAGAGTGTTCTTGCCCCGGGTGGGAATGTTCACATGTTGGTAATATTTGGTAAGTACAGACCGTAAATTGCACTGGTTAAAGTTGCCTGCAGCAATAAGTATAGCGTCAGGGTGCACTGTCTGTTGCGCGCTGATGACGTCATGGAGTTTGCTGAGAGCCGATGAGGGATTAGCTCTTGGGCTAACATGCACAGCAGCCAGAAACACAGCACTATGCTCTCCTGCTAGATAATGGGGCCAGTATTTCAGCAATAAAAACTCCACTTCTGGCAAATGAGGTGGCCATTCTGTTGTCATAGTGCAAGGACAATAATCAGCCTCAACACAGACAAGACAAAGGAGATGATAGTGGACACGAGGAAGGAGAGGAGAATTCATCGGCCACTGTTCATTCGTGGGCCCAAAGTGGAGAGGGTGAGCAGCTTCAAATACCTGGGCGTCCACATCAGTGAGGACCTCACTTGGACACTTAACACCACACAGCTGGCCAAGAAGGCCCAACAGCGGCTGTACTTCCTGAGGAGGCTGAGGAGGTTTAGCATGTCACCTAAAGACTGTAGAGAAGATCACAAGGACTCCGTTGCTTTCCCTGCAGAGCATTTAACACCGCAGGGTGCACAGGAAAGCTGCCTCAGACGATGTGGTGGACATAAAACAGTCTATGGATTTTATCTAAAAAAAATATATTGACAATTCAGTTTTATTAAACCACATGGGGAGAGGAAGACTGAAGGTTTAACTGCTGTGTAATGTTAACACTGTCTTTCTTTTAAACCACCAGTTTTATAGCTTAATTGTCACCACCCTGTCTCCTGTAATATTCCTGTGCAACTAAACTGCAAACACAGTCAGTGTGCATATAAGTGTGTGTGTGTGTGTGCATGTGCATACATAGGTTTATACATTCATTATTCACTTTTCATTATCTCGCTTCCTAATGCACATTCCTTTGTTTGCACGTCTTTACTTGCCCTTTGTTATTGCTGTACATAAGGATATGTACATACATATTGAGAGCCGCTGTACCAGAGTGAAATTCCTCGTGTGTCGAACACCCCTGGCCAATAACGCTGATGCTGATTCTGACTTAAATCAAATCAAATCAAAGTTTATTTATATAACACTTTAAAACACCAGAGTACTTCACAATTACTGCAAATAATACAAAAAATGCATAAAATAAACATAGGTAAACATAGTTTTTGAGAGTAGACTTAAAAAGTCTGAGCTCTGTAATAGATCTAATGTGCATCAGTAAACTTTTCCAAAGTTTGGGGGGATACCAGAGTGTAAAGGCTTGGTCACCCCAGTGCCTGCCCCTGGACTTTGAAAACTCTAAGAATCACTTGACCTGAGTTCTCTGTCGGGTCGGTATAAATCCAAAAGTTCTGTCCAGGAAAGTGGAGCAAGGCCGTTAAGAGTAATCTTTAACTTAAACCCTATCCTAAAATGGACTGGAAGCCAATGCAGAGATAAAAGAATAGGGATTACATTTTCACATCTACGGGTGTTAGTTAAAAGCAGAGCAGCAGCATTTTGAACTAACTGGAGGTGAGACAAAGTTGGCTGATTAACTTTTGTATACAGTGCATTACAATAATCAATCCTGGAGCTAATACAATCATAGATCGCTTTTTCCAGATCATTCAATGCTAGGAAGGACATTACTTTGGGTAACATTCTTAGCTGGAAGAAGCTTGCTGAATTTATCTGCTGATCTTAACTCGGTGTTCAATATCACCCCTACATTCTTGACAGCTATTTTCAGATGAGAAGCCAGGGGGCCAGGACCTGAATTTGGACCGATGGGAGTCAATCATAATGCATTCAGTTTTGTTCTAATTTAGATACAGAAAATTTTCTGCCAACCATGATTTAATATCAGCCAAGCAATACTGCAAGGACTGTAGTGGAGTGGCATCATTCAGTTTCAGGGGCCAGTAAATCTGAATATCATTCACATAGCAATGAAAAGAGAGCTTATACTTATCTAAAATTGTACCAAGCAAGAACATGTGTAAAGAAAAAAAGAACAGGCCAAGACTGGAGCCCTGAGAAACTCTGTATGAGAAGATGAGAGGAGCACAGGAGGAAGAGTTCTCGCCAATCTGTAGAGAAAAACCTCTTAGTTAAATGTGACTGGAACCACTTATGAGCTGTGCCTTGAATACCTACAAACTGAGAAAGTTGAGAGATAAGGATTTCATGATCTACTGCATCAAAGGCACTTGTAAGATCTAAAAGGACCATAATAGCAGGAGTTTTTGATTCAGCACAAAGTAGATCATTACACACATTCAGCAGTGCAAGATTCTGTATGGCATGATCTAAAGCAGGACTGGAATTTTTCAAAGATGTGGTTTCCCTCCAGAAATGATTGTATAAATGATAATGATACTCACTATTATTGGCCAAGTAAGGAATTTGTCTCCAGTAGAGAACCGAGGCAGCCATCTGTGGCGTCAACTCGCACATGCACACTGATGGCCCTGCAAGGCCCTGACCTGGCTATTGGGGTTCAGTGTCTTCCCCAAGATCACTTCGACATGTGGACTCGGGAGAATGGGAATCAAACCGCCGATCTTCTTGTTTGGGGATGACCACTCTACGTCCTGAGCCACAGGCTCTCTAGGATCTTAGAAAAAAATGACAGTTTAGAAACGGGTCTAAAATTCGAAAAAACTGTAGTGTGTGGGTTAGGTTTTTTAAGAATAGGCTGTACCATTAAGGCTAGGTTATGTTAGACCTAGGGTTAGGCATGTAGTGATTATGGTTAAAGTTAGGCTTCAGGAAGTTGATGTAAGTCAATGTAATCTCCCTTGAAGTAATTGAAACAATGTGTGTGTGTGTGTGTGTGTGTGTGTGTGTATGGGTCGTATCTGCAGTGGTACAGCTCCTTTGGCCTGCCTGGTCACCATGCTGCACTCTCAGGTGAGGGGAGACAGAGTCAAGAACAGCATCTTCTTTAAGCTACCTGGACGGATGAGCCTGTTTACTCTAAAGGTACTCAAGCATGAGCCTCTTTGCTCTCAATGCTTCACCACTCTGCCTGCATAAGTCATTTATTAGTTTACATTACTAACATAATTAGTGAAAATTGCTCCAAGATGTTTCATTTCAAAATGATTTCCCATAGAAATCTGGCACAGTTAAGCAAGGTAATCCACAATTTGTGCAGTGAATATTTTTATTTGTGACTTCTCTACTAAATTGAACTTGCTGACTGAGCTATGTTCTTTTTGTAAGACTAGTCAGGTATAGTATTGCTTTGAGTTTATTCACACTGGCAGTGCAAACCAGTGACATTAGTATGGACCAGAGGAAGTAGTTTTAAAAGCTGCATTTACTTATAGGTATATACATACACCAGGGGGTAAAACCGCCCTATTAAATCACATTTTCACATATTTGAATGCTTGAATGTGGTAGTGGATTTCATGTATGACCTCCATATCAGTTGATAAGGACACTTGACCCAGATGAAAATTTGATATACAACTAACTCTGTATCATTCACACTCTGTAGAAGAACGCCCTCCAATGGACAAAATCAACCTCGGAATCACAGTCACCAACGGAACTGGCTGGAAACCCCGTACCCCTAGCTTCCAGCAGCAGCACCTCTGCAGCAGGCTCAGCTGTGGCCCCAGTTGGCCCCACTGAGGCCACTGAGCAGGAGAGCTGTGACTCCACTGAGACCACTGCTGCTGCCAGCGGTGACAATGATGGTAACATTACACACCAGTGTTCTTTCATTATGTACACCACAGTAGGGGTGTAACAATATCAGCGATCTGGATTGATGTATGAGTCAAATAACTAGCATTTGTAACTGATGCACAGTGTAAAAATTCATATTAGACTTTGACACTCGTATTTCATTTCTGTCATCAGAACAGCTGTTTGTCAGCAGCTCCTGATGAGCTTGTAGGACAGTAGCTAGACGGACTGTCTGAGCCACATTCATTAAAGCGCTCTTCTCTTCAAATTGGGCAATAAGCGCCAAGCGATGCCGCAAATACGTCTGCTAAAGCCAGGGCTGTACCCAACTAAGGATTTTGTCAGTGGGCTCTTCAGTGTGACTATTGAATTGAAAATCAACTGGCATGAATTTCAGTGATAATTTCAACCACATTAACATCGGTATTTAAATGCAAAAGACTCACAGGAACATATTACTGAGCATTTAAAAATTAACAAGACAGCTGCATGTGATGCAATATTTTAATTGCGACCTGTTTTTAAATTGATGTTATATAATGTTGGGCTGCCATATGGATTTGTTGGAATAATGAGACAGGCAGCACACTTGTATTTCTGTTTAAACAATGCTCTTATAGGCAATATTTTCCTCTGTGACATGCTTATAGCCTACCAACATATCAAAGCTTCTCCGGTCAGTTAACCACGGTGACTGTTGTTACTGTGGATTTGATGTATACCAGCTTGCACTGAGAAGCATTCCTCTTATTTATAATTCTTCATTGAAATTTTTTCACTGCACATTTTTGTTAGCTTTCTAGCCCTGTTTGAATGGATGCATGTCACAGAAACCGTCAGTAAACAGCTGTGCATTGCACTTTAATGGAGATGGGTAAACACAGTGGACTTATAACTTGAGGCAAAACCAGCCATGTTGTTGCGACAGTCCTTTCTCTTGTAAAAGTAGACCACAATGTTTGAAAACACTTCTAATAAAGTCCAAATCTCACCTTTATGTGGCTTGTCCTAGTAGGTTTTGTTGCCCTTTTCTACTCATTCTGCAATTGCTAAATAGATTGAACCTTAATGTACATCCATGTATGGGACAGTGTCACTACTGAAGTGAGTATTTCTCCCCCCAAACACGGGGAAGTATTGAAAAATTTGCTGTTTGGCACAGCAAAATGAGAAGAACACGACAAACTACCTGCCTGGGGCTACTTGCTATTGTAATGCACACTGGCTGACAAAAAATAAAATAAAAACAAAGGCTCGACAAAAAGAGTCTCAGTTGACCCACAGGTCTCTCAACTATTTAACTGTTTGGAGGCAGCCCTACTACATTCCTGGAAAATTTGAAGAAGTGGAAGCATTGTGTTGTGTTGTCCAGTTATCTGAAAAAACTTGGAAGAAACAATCAACTGGACTAGGTTTTTAGGTCGAAGACGTTTCACCTCTCATCCAAGAGGCTTCAAAGAATGTCCTTTGTACTTCAGGTGGAGGTGGACTGCTGACTCTGGTCCACTGGAGTTTGCCCTCCTGTGTTGGGCCATGCGTGTGTGGAGCGGCTGCTTAGTTTCACCAATGTACAAGTCGTTACACTCCTGACTACACTTAATTGCATACACCACATCACTCTGTTTATGGAAACACCATTTGTCCTTTGAATGGACTAGTCTTTGCCGCAGGGTGTTCCCTGGCTTAAAGTTGACTGGGATATTGTAGTTGCGACAAAGAACATTCTTTTGAGGACATTGAAGTCCAGATCCTCTCCAGAGAACATTGCTGGTTTAAGAGAGAGGAGTCAAGGAAGCTTTTTTTTTTTTTTTATCCAAATGGAACACCCCTCACTAAATGGGGTGGTGGACTAAGACACACCTTGTCATCCATCTACAATCCTGTTTTGAGATCTCTGCCCAAACATGCCCACCAGGACAATGGGTGTAAGTCCACAGGTGAGGGTTCAAAGACGGGTAACGACACTCACTGATACTGTGCTATAAGGACATTGTTGGCCATCAAAGGACTGAAACACCACCAATGAGGATAAATATCTCCAACTCAATGCCAGATGGGCAGAACTGAGTAAGCCTCTTGAATGAGAGGTGAAACGTCTTCGACCTAAAAACCTAGTCCAGTTGAAGTTTTTTTTTTTTTTCATCTTACTATGACCTGGATATGACTGAGAATCTGCACGGATATGTTGTCCGGTTGTGTATTTTGAAATGCAGCTAATGGGAACATTGGATCGCAAATGAAAGATCTGGTGAAGAACTAATATGTTCAGTGCCTTTTTTTCTATACATGAACTGTCATTAGCCATTTATTACAATGTAAATGTATTCAAAGTCAAAGAAGAATATCATTCCTGTGTTTATCAGTACCAAGTAACGTGAAATTACCCTTTGGGGTCTGGGAACATCAGTGTTCACTTAGTTTGGACTGTTCTGGTCTAACACAGATTGGGTCAATCGATTTAAAATTTACTGGCTGTGAAAACCAGAGGGGTGGATCATTACCCCATACCAAAACAGTGCTTTTTATGCTGTCCCATGTGACAGGAGGTAGCATAAAAAGCAATGCTATGACCACATTAGAGCCCCATTTTTCATGGCACTTTTTAAATGCCATCAAAATGGCTATACATACTTTTAAAGTATGTATAGTTTTTCAAGTAAGAGCTAAATCAAAATTGAGTATCTACTGAATCAAATCAAAATCATTCAGAATCACACTGTATTGTATTGTTACAAATTTTGCTGTAGCCTTTCTGTATCTAATTGTGGACAATTTATCGAGATGCATATCAAGGCATGTGAGTGGGAGAGATACACACCCCTACCGTTCATTGTTAGCGGAAACCTAGTGCAGTCAGTGTGTGAGAGAGGGATTGAAGGAGCCCAGCGAGGCAACAGCCTAGAGATGGGTAAAGGTCTACTCTATGCAGTGACAGCTGGGCAAGAGCCTCATGGCAGAGATTTTGAGCCAGGCTCAAAGCTGTTATTTTTCAGCTGTAGGACTGGTATTATGCCACTTGATTAAATTAGCAGCTTGTATAGTAACCACTGCTGAATCAATTAAATGTTCACTTATGTGTTTGACGAAGCATTTCAGTCTTCCTTTCAAGCTGCTTAACTCTGTCCATCAATCATTCACACTCCGAGCAGCTCACCGTTTTCCTCGGTTTGAAGACATAGTAGCTTTATCCTATCCAGAGGAGCAGGGAAAAGTTGAAGTGAAATGAAAAAAAAAGTTTTAACTATGGTAGTAGCCTTCTGTGTCTATCAAAATTAAAGTCCCAATGATTTAAGTATATAGTATCTGCTGTCCATACGTTTATAACAGTAAATACAGGGATTACAATAGAAAAACCAAACATTCAAGAGTTATTGCAGTTTATTTGGCCACATCTAAAATCACAGAGGAACGATAAGTGATATTCTAAAGGAAATTCATAGGTAGCATTCAGGGTCATCTAAATATGGAAGGAAGGGAGGGGGAAAAGGAGGCAGGATGAAATAAATAAGGATGAAAGGAAGGAGGATTAAAAACATTCTTCCAAGAAAGTCAGTCTATTTACTGTGGCAAGAAAAAGTATGTGAACATTTTGGAATTTTGTGGCTTTCTGCATTAATTTGTCATAAATTGTGATCTGATCTTCATCTAAGCCAAGAGTACTGACGAATATAATGTGCCTAATATAACACAAGAAAATTCTGATCTTTCATGTCTTTATTGAGAACAACCATAAAAACTTCATAGTGCTAGTGGAAAAAGTATGTGAACCCTTGAGTTAATGACTTCAAAAAGCTAGTTGGAGTGAGGTGTTGGCATACCTGGAGTCTTGTTAAGAAAATGAGTTTGGATGTGTGCACTAGAGCTACTTTGACAGATAAAAACCACTCAAACCTTTTGAGTTTGCTCCACACAAGAAGAATATGCTTATGTGAGCCATGCCTCACCAAAAAGAGCTTTCAGAAGATCTACGATCAAGAATTGTTGATTTACATAAAGCTGGAAAGGGTTATAAAGTGATTTCAAAGATTTAAAAAAATTCACCAGTCTACAGTTAGGCAAACGATTTACAAATGGAGACACTTTGGGACTGTGGCTACTCTACCAAGAAGTGGGCACCCAGTCAAAATGACCCAAGAGCACAGTGAAGACTCATCAGTGAGGTAAAGGAACAACCTAAGAGTGACAGCCAAAGATTTGAAGGCATCATTGGAACTGGATAACATCTGCAGTGGGGCAAATAAGTATTTGATACACTGCTGATTTTTCAAGTTTTCCCACTTACAGAGAATGGACAGTTCTGTAACTTTCATCGTAGGTTCACCTCAACTGTAAGAGACAGGATCTACAAAGAAATTCCAGCAAATCACATTTAGATTTTTAATTATTTCCATTTTATTGCAAGTATTTGAAGACCTACCAACCAGCAAGAATTCTGGCTCTCACAGACCTGTTAGTTTGTGTTTAAGAAGCCCTCCTATCCTCCACTCATTGCCTATATTAATTGCACCTGTATAAAAGACGCATGTCCACACACTCAATTTATCAGACTCCAACTTCTCCACTATGGGCAAGACCAAAGAGCTGTCTAAGGGCACTAAGGCCAAAATTATAGACCTGCACAAGGCTGGGATGGGCTACAGGACAATAGGCAAACAGCTTGGAGAAGGCAACAACTGTTGGTGCAATTATTAGAAAATGGAAGAAATTCAAGATGACTGTCAATCTCCCTCAGGCTGGGGCTCCATGCAAGATCTCGCCTCGTGGAGTATCAATGATCCTGAGAAAGGTAAGGGATCAGCCTAGAACTACACGGGAGGACCTGGTCAATGACCTGAAGAGAGCTGGGACCGCAGTCTCAGCGGTTACCATTAGTAACACACTACACCGTCATGGCTTAAAATCCTGCAGTGCACGCAAAGTCCCTCTGCTCAAGCCAGCACATGTCCAGGCCCGTCTGAATTTTGCCAAAGACCATCTGGAGGATCCAGAGGAGGCATGGGAGAAGGTC